CCGTAGTAAGGAGCCACCGTCTATGATCATCGTCGTTATCAACAGCAAAACCTTTGGAAGTGCATCAACGCACCAAAAATGTCATCCATCACCAAACGCTGCTCTAAGTGACTAAAACCTCTGCAAGAACAATGGCAATCCAGAGCCGCTCCTAAAAACTCCAGTCCCATTTTTGTCCGAACAACTTTTTGCGCGTGAATCAGTATACGTTGCGCCCCGCGGTCAAAAATGGCTTTGTCCGATCAAAAAACACAGGCGGAATGTCATGCCACACGCACAAGCTTATGCAAGATGGGTATACCTGTGAAATGAAATACCGCTTGTTATGTTAACATGATATAGTACGTTATCACACTTAAGTTTCTAATTACATTTGCTTAGCTTGCTGTCAACAAAAAGCTACGGGACATATAAAATGATAGCAACAATTCAGATTAATTCAGATTAATTCACGTATAATGAAATACCTACTTGCGGGTGTGGGAAAGATGAAAAAGTGCCACGCTCTGCTGGACAAGTTGCATGTGTTTTCCAGGAACGAGCAGAACATACACATTTCGGAAACAGTGTATCAGCCATTTGAAATACCGAGCAACTGAAATAGGGTTATTTTTATGTGCTGTATTCTGCCTTAGCGCTCTGAACAAAAACTAGGCCATAAGTGTCAGATACCGTTGCTGCATATTCGTCTTCACAGCGCACGCGTTCAGCTGCGTCCGGCCGGGGGTCTCAGACAACCGCGCCCGGCTGGGGAAAGTTGACTTCCCCTGGGATTTCCAAGTTTGAGGCGTCGTAAGGGAAATACAAAGCTACCGTTATGAAGTTCTCGTCGAATCATGAAGAATGCACACCAAATGTTTACTTTGGGCCAATTGTAAGGTCACTAGAGGTCATTGGAAAGGCTAAGAACGGCCGTTCTGCTAAAGGCAGCTGAAACATATGTTAACATGACAAGACGAATGCTGAAGGTATAGGAGTAGGCGTTACGACTGCGGGGAGCCCATTCCAATGATTACAGCTCCCCGCAAGGGTCAGGCCAGGTCAGGTCACCGTTCAAAGCTGGTTTACCAGAAGCCTACCAAATTTTGTGAGGTGCAGCTGTAGGACAAAAGTATACTAGACACAAAAGTATGCCATTTTAGGCTGACCTAGAGGTCAACTTATGTCAACTTATGCCAAATTTATAGCTTAATTTTGTTCTCATCCAAATGGGAACAGAATTGAAGTGCATAGTGACTGAGTCTAAATGACCAGTACAATGCTTGCTTTTTCTGTGGGCAGAGATAATGTGTTGTGCACCTAAAGGTACTCAAGATCGCATAGTTATTGTAAACATTACGTATAATTCCTTCGACGCTTAGCAATGTATTTGTGACAAACTGGGAGCAGGCACGTTGGTGCATCCAAATTATACGCCATCAGCTTTACAAGCACGATACAGATGTGGTTACACGCGTCGCACTCGTTAATCCAGTCTCTGTGCAAGATTTGAGAGGAGAAGACAGAAGCTATAGTACACCAGTCGCAAGGTTTCATCACCCAGCGTTTTGCCCTGGACCTTTTAGCCTTTTTGCCACATACATTGAAGGCCTAGACGCCCCCTCCCCTCCCCACACACACACATACCGCAACGGACTTTCTCAACTTTCTTCATGACAAATTGGAGACCTCAAATGGCCTCTGCATGCCGCTATCGACATCAGGGGTATTTGATCTTGGATAACTTCATATGACTTTGCGTACCCCCGCGTGAACTATTCTGATCTTATCATACCTTATAATCACATCACAGCATGTTTTCATTCAAGCATTTGAATTCCGCGCTCAAAAATACCTATTGCGGCTGCCCATTTTGAACTCAGCACGTGTTTTTAAGAGGACACCCAGAGAAGTATGTCAAAACCTAGGCTGAGGCCATGCGCTCTGTGGTCATAAGATGGGTTTGCATTGATAACGAGACATTGCAAAAATTAACCTGAAATCAGGTCATTGACTTTGCCTATTTATGAAGTCTGAAATATAAGATCTCAAGGTACTGTCATGTTCTATTACTGAAATGAGTTTCTGTAATGGCAAATAACTGAAAAGTTATGCGTGGTCAAAGTTTTTTTGAGACTGAACACTTTGACCTGACCAAAGCCACTGACCTTGACAGATCAAAACTGAATACACACAAAGCCCGCCATCTTGATAGATGAAAAGGCAATGTAAATTTGATGTTGCTGCGAGCGTTTGCCTTTGAGCAGTGCTCGAAAAAAACGTAGGATGAAGTTAGCTTCCCCCGGCCGGGCGCGGGTTAAGGCTGAAATTTCCAGCAGTATTAAAGCATGGGGGCAACCCCCCCCCCACACACACATACACAAATGGCTTCAAGTGACTGGTAGTGTGGCTGATACCTTCAGATTATGTTTGACGCAAGGAAATATAATAGTACCGTTTCCCATGAACTGTGCATATAGCCAAAGGTTCAGTCTCCCACAGCTTTTGTCATGAGAACGCGTTTATCAGTTCCCTCATAACCCGATACCACATTATTGAGAAGGTGACCTCTCGAATCACCATCCCTGTTTTGAGTGCAGGACACATCCGTGGAAAGCCCGGCACGAGCAAGCGCTGAGGTCCGATTGGTCGGTTCTCCGTACTTGCCATGCAGTCGTGACAGGGTTCCACCCCGTTAGGCCGTTCCGGATGAATGTAAAGAGGAGATCGGTGGGAAGGCCGGGCCGCCGGCTATACCGTCAGCAGGGCGTATAAAACATAGGCATGCTGGCAATCGACGTCCAGTCACCCGCCCCGCTCGACAGCACCAGGTAAGTGTCTAGAGCAGCGCCGCTGCCAGCTTGGGATGGCTTTACCACCGTCAGCTGCTGAGCTTATGTTGCTCTGGTTGTTTGGTGTTTTCTGACGTCTTGGCAAGATTCTCAAGCAAGGAGTTACAAGTGTTGCGAGTTTTAATGCTGGGACATATGGTTGTGATTTATTTCTTAATGTAGTAGGTACAGAATGCATGTCGACTGGCAGGCAATGGGTCTTTTGTGTGCAATAAGAAGTCGGAAGTTAGCACTTGGCTTCCTAAGCTTATGCATGTTCCCGTACAACAAAAACAGCCATGGTTACTGGCGTATAACTGGTCCTCTAGGCAAATCAAACAGCATCATGGGTTCATGAACCGAACCAAAATATTGGCAACCAGCCAGCACCATCGGTTTTCGGCCGTCTTGCTCATGCTAAGTCCTCGCTGCGTGATCGGAAGCTATCCGCTTCTAAGCCTGCATCGCTTCGCTTTGCTTTGTTTGCTCGCTTCACTTAGCGTCCGCGTTAGGGTTGCAACATTTCGGCAGTACAGCACTGCCAGTTGACACTGAGTTAGGATAGGCGGTACTGTGGGCGTGCCAGATTCACAACGTACAACCTGGCTGTCGCTGTTAACCCCGCTGAATGCACTGCTAGCCGCCACCAGCGTCGGTCCAAGGTTAATCTCCAGTTCTGATGTTCGTTACGTGGGTTGGCAGCGTCGGTTTATCTTGTTTCTGCATATTCATTTGCTTACCGCCACGTCCGTCCTAGATAAATAATTACTAGGCGCCGTTCGACTAGAGAACGGTCTGTCACATTGGATGCACTTGCGTCACCGAAATCCTTGCTGGAATCACGCGCCGGGTCAAGCACATCGTGAAGAGCTGTAGAGGCTTAGGAAAAGGGAAACGTCTGCGCTGCGACACGCACTGACGGCAAACGTTGCCGGCTGCAGCGATGGCCGCACTTTAACCACACTCCCTGTTTCGGTATTTCTGTGTGAGACAGCGACATGCCGCGTTTAACTATTTTTCCTCTTCTTTCACCTGCTACCTTAGGGGTGACTTCTCATGGATGAACAGACGGGAATGGGTTGTCATGACGCCAATAGCGCGCATCTGCATCTTAACACATTTCAACTTGGGTTGATCGATTTCCATTATCGTAGTGACAAAAATCTCGATATGGATGATACGACGTCTCTTACCAAGCAGGAATTACAACAACCACTGAAATGATCCGTATACCGTCCGGCACAGCATGTGTATACGGACAATTCGCCCGCGGAAACACCCCTCTTGCATAAATTAATTATGAGTGTTTACTATTCATCTGCATCAAAACAACTTATATGGTGTTATATTTACCTTTCGCTATATAGCGAAAGGACACAAATATTCAGCTTGTTTGCACTTCTTTTCTAGTAGCGAATAGCCGGAGGTTAACTTATCTACTCTATTGCGGGCCTTTTAGCCCCCTCCCTACTTTGGCCCCCCGCCACTACAAAAATACGGCCAGCATGCATCGTCATTTTCCACAGCATGGTCCCTACACAACTCATTTAAAAAACTATTCCCCTGCGGGTAGCACTTGAAAACGGCACCGTGTTCCCTAAATCCGCAAAGCATGCATGCCCAGGCCGTTTATACGCCTGTAAGAAATGCATGTAAGGCACAATGGGTGCTGTGTATTGCGTGTATGCTGTAATGTGCACAGTAGATGCTGTGTATTGCGCGTATGCTGTAATGTGCACAATATGTGCTATGTACCGTATATAGGAAACAATATGGGCATCACAAACTTCCGACCTCAACGCGTTTGAGTCAGTTGACGCCAACGATGATAGGCTATGCTTGATCTTGTTGGTGCGAACTCAGCTGGCCACCCGTCCCGGCAGCTGACACCTGGCCTGTTCTGCCCCTCAGGTCACCATGAAGCGGTTCGTCATCCTGCTGAGCGTTGTCTGCGCCGTCAGCTGCGGCAGAAGCTACGGCAACAGGCGCAACACCGGCGGCGGCGGCAAGGTGTCCCGCGGCGGCGGAGCAGGCTTCGGCTTCGGCTTCGGCGGTGGCAGTGGTGGTGGCGGTGGCGGTGGCGGTGGCGGCGGTGGCGGTGGCGGCGGTGGCGGTGGCGGTGGCGGCGGTGGCGGTGGCGGTGGCGGCGGCCGCCCCTCAGGAGGAAACTTCGGAGGTGGACATCTGGGAGGAGGAGCCCTTGGCGGAGGCGGAGCCCTTGGCGGAGGCGGAGGCTTTGGTGGAGGTGCAGGCTTCGGCGGAGCTCAAAGCACTGGCTTCGTGGGCGGAGGAGGACACCGCGGCGGAGGTTTGGGTGCCGGCGGTCACCGCGGCGGAGGCTTTGGTACAGGCGGTCACCGCGGCGGAGGTGGCTCCTACGGGGGCGCGGGTGGACTCGGAGGAGGTCTGCTCGGCGGGGCAGGAGGATTCGGCGGCGGCGCTTCGCTGGGTGGAACGGGAGCCTTGGGCCATCAGTTCGGAGGCTTCGGAGGAGGCTCGGCCACGGGATCCGCCGCCGGTAACGTCGTTTCGGGTCAGACGGCAGGCCCGGCTGGCACAACTTCAATCACCAGCGTCGGCTCCAGCGCTAAGGTGAGTCTTTGCTACAGAATGTCGTTGGCAGAGGCCGTAAGCTGACTTGAAAGACACTTACATTGTATCCGAACTTGACAGTATTAATGTGAAGAAGCTTTCAAAGCAGCGATGTTCCACAAGACATATAGAACAAAAGCCGTTGCCTGTGGTTGATAGGCTGCACAGCCCATGAATAATGTGATGCCATGGGTCTGAGCCGCCTGCTTAATCCTGTTCCACCGCCCAGTGTGTAACGCTCGCGTTCTTTGTTGGCAGGGGTCGGCCTCGGGCGGCGGCAGCAGCTTCAACAAGGCACACGCCAATAACGCCCAGCTCAGTGGCCTCCTGGGGCAGCTCTCGACCTCCAACACTGGAGCCGTCTCGCATCAGAGCGGTGGGGGAGGCAAATATTGGTAGTTAACAGCTGGCAATCACAACCAGCACCAGACAAGCGCTCGATACTGCTAACCAGTAGCCGACCAAGAGCAAGATCCAGCCGGCGGAGGGCGAGCTTGTCAAACGCGGGCTTTGAACACCAATCCCTCCTTGGAAACGGCGCGCTTCGGCGCACGTTCGAACCTTCACCTCATATGACGACAACTCGCATCAGCCTGCCGAGGAATACACGATGGATGAGATCAGTGGCTCTGTGCTGGGGACGATGGACTAGCCGTCAGCCCGTGCTTGTTGGCTCCTTGGCAGCGGACTGGTGAATGGAAACACAACCAAAGCAACGAGCGGCCGGGCCACACTGCATTCCGGTCTTATTTGGTACGGCAGTTTTCACATGACGGAGTAACTGGAAGGAGTCTTTATGGCCTGTTTGGTCTGCATCCAGCTTGCGTCAGATTTCCCTACTGATTGCATACCTCAGTTACGTTCTGCGTTTCATCATGCAATAACGCAAACATTTGGCGCGTGGGCGACTTCTAGATATGATAAACATGAGGCAGATAAGAGGATAAATAAAGAAACGCCGTTTCTGAAAATGTCAGTTCAAATACAAATAATTCCATCACATAAAAATACACAAGAACATCACGATAGAAGGCAAAAGCACACACAAACATACTTGTTCGTTGAATTACCACACATAGCTCAACAACGCTGCCTTGTCGCACGTAAAGCAGCACAGACGAGTCATTCCGTCGCAGGGGTAACTCTACTTGGCAACTCTGCCAAAAACTCTGCCATAAGAACGCTCCATGGCGTAATGAAACGATGACATTACGATGAACATGTTTAGTAATTCATGGAATGCTGTTGTTAACAGCAGCCTCTATCACTTAAAAGCGTACAGCTAGTTACAAGCGAGTTCTTTCCCCCACACATTATGCTTGCCCCAACACCTTCAAATGTGGAACAGCCTCCTCATTGCTCATTGATACAGCGCGGTGAAAAAAACGATTTGAGGAGCGACGATACACATCTTCATTTTAAACTGCGCGAACTCATCATCTTAAGTCACGTAAAAAGGAACGAAGTAAGCTGAGATGCCATTTTTGCCTACATAATTACGCATCTGAAACAACTCCCCTCGTACATCGATTTTCCCGTCTTAGATAGCTTAACACGTCTGCCAGCATGTCACCTGTAACATCTGTTGGGAGGACATCATAAGCCGATGGTGGAGGATTTCTAAGACACGGACCTCTACCCACCACCTGCAAACGCTTGTCCATGAAGTTTTCCTGCTGGTGTGCCGTTAAACTCTAAAAAAACTATTTGCCTGTCCCACCAGTCAGGAAACCGTACGTGATGCAGAGGCTGCTCTCTCGCTCAATAGATGGCAATGCGTGGGTGTCTGAAAGCCCCAGTGGGAAGCCTAGAGGAACAATTTGATAATACATGAAATCGCCACAAAAATTGTTTCTCATTACAAACGGTATACGGAATGCCTGAAACGGTGCCAAAGTTGAACATAGCTTCAGGTTTAGATTTGAAGTTTTACATATAGCCCACTATCATTAAGCGTTTAAGAATTATCGCACAAACCTATCGCATAAACCTATCTGGTAGGCATGACCTTAGCGCCTGGTAAGCGTCGGATGCATTAGTGAACAATCATCAGCATGCCATGCAGTTTACCACGGTTGTGCAACGCCATTGTGGTCTTTTGTGATTCCCATAGCACGCAATAAGTATTCGGTGAGGTGCCGGTCCTTGATATAAAATACTTTTCTAGACTGGCTCACACATTTGACTGCAATAATCTCATTCGACCGGCCAATACCCACTTGAGCCGATATTCGCAGGCACGTGGGAAGATATTCTTATTTCTATGCGGTTAAGTTTGTGAACAGTTGCCTGACGCCTTCACTGCTCTTCCAGTTTTTTTTAGCAGTTTGCTTAAGATAGCAGATGTGGTTGCAAAGGTTGCAAATGCCTACCGGCGCACTCCTTACTCTTTAGAAAAGATATGTGGCTACAAAATCATGCATTCTTATGTTCAACGCGCATTGCACCTTAAGGTGAATATTGCGTGGTATTCTGTTGAACTAGTCCTTTGTCATTGTCAAACATGCACAAGTGGTGTGACGAGGCAATAACATAAATGAGAATGCATCGGAAAAAAAATCAGCAAGACACAACGAGCAGGCACGTGGGACTATTACAGTCATATTTTAGGCCGCCTATTCACCAAGTACGTATTCTGCTTTGGATGCGTCTGGGAGCAAATCCATAATCTCATCCAGTGCATTGTATCTTGCCTCGTTGCATTTGCCAATACTGTCTGCATCGTCAATGACATTGGGCTTGAGGTCTTCCAGTACTTATAACCTGATCTGATTATGGTGACTACCACGGTTGTGCTAACCTGACCTGAATAATATTTTTCAAAGGCTGCCGTATGCTGCTCACCACGATCCCGGTCGCTCGCTACATTCAGTAACTCGCAGTCATTGGTTCGCATCCACAAAAAAGGTGCTCTCTCCTAATAACAAACTCACGCTGGCATCCCATACCACTTCCACTGTGCTATCAGATGCCTGCAGTTGCATCCGCTGCGAAAGGCGGTATTATTTTGGGGTTGGTAGCTGGAGATGCGAAAATATAGCCTAGTAACATTGAGTGACGTGCTGTCATAAAGTCCAGCCAATAAAACTGATGCCCTCGGTCTACAACCATGTCTCGGTGCCAGTTGAGGGCCATACAATAGTGCTACCTAATGCACACTTTCGCACTTACCGCATTTGACTATGAGTAGTTTTAAAAGGCTGACGTATGTTGGCTACCACATTCCCGAGCGGCCAACCGCTGTCAGTAATGTGCTGTCAGGCTGCCACGTGACCACTCTATGCCCCGTCGGCCGACAACAAAATACGTTGTCAGCCTACCCCCCCCCCCCTCCCCTACGGTGCGGTCACACGCATGTGGTCTCAACCGCTGCAACCAACAAGGTGTAATTTGGGCATGCTTTCGTAACCTTGAAAATTCACGTTCCGGCCGGTTGGCCAGCATTGAGTGATGCGACGTCATGGGGTCAACCCAATGAAATGGATTCCGTCGCCCGATAGCTATCTAACGTTGCCGCCTGAGAGCACCGTAGCAGCTTTATCAAATGCATACGGCGGCATTCTCAGGCTTGATTATAAGTAGTTCTCAGGGCCTGTCGTATGTTGCCACCACACTCCCGGGGGGGGGGGGGGAGGGGAGGGGGGGGGGGGGGTCGACCGTATTCAGGAATAAACTGTCCGAGATCAGATGAGCAAACAGCTGGGACATTCCGCCATAACACAAACAAAAAATTCCCAAAACCCAGAATCCATATTTTTGTAATCGTATCCGATTCAGTATCTAGGGTTATAGTAGACCCCAAAGCTATCTATACCAAACAAATCTGAGAAACGATTTTCGAGATATAGGTTCAGGCAAATTGCATGGGCCACATTAAAAGCACTTTTTTTGGCAGTATGCCATTTATAATTTATCACTTAGATCATATTAAGTCCCAATGCCAATGCATTTGCAATGAACTAAGAAACTTGTCGGCTATCTCGGCATTTCGCTTTTTCAAAATGTTATCACGTGACGCTGTGACCTGGTCTTCACAATGCTTAAAGCTAGGCTGACAGCCTTTCTTTCGCGATCTTTCGAGGTTGATGCACTCTGATTGTGATCCGGTTCACCCGGCATGATCTGTGACATGCGGAGTCGCTTTTACGGCCACCGCCTTGACGAAACGGCCGTCGAGGTTCACCGGCGCCTTTGTAACATCTTCTTTTGACACGTGTATACATGAATACACATGAATTTGATCGCGAATGCAAACTTTGCATTCAAATACGTGAACACGTCCTCGGCAGTGAGAATCTGGCTTGTCACAGTGCGCCGGAACCTTTCACGACGAGTGACGCGTTTCATCGCCCCACCAATCCCACCACATGCACACTTTTCGTGCGAAGCTGTGGAAGAGTTCCACTCGCATGTCCCACTGTGGAAGTTAGCGCTTTGCTCACACACATCTGCATAGTTATGCTTGTTTTTGTACTGAGAACCGCTCCCATCGCTGAAGGAGTAAATTGTGTTCAGCTTTGGCACCCGGTTCCTGACTGCCGACGCCAAGCGTTGCAGAAACATGTGCACCGTAGGATTGCACTGCACATTAAACTGCACCCTGTGCTTGATGCAGTTTGATATGATACAGGAGCTCTGATGGTGCTACTCGTCGGACTTCCTGCGGTACACTAAGAACGGGCGCTCTGTGTCGTAATTCGCGTCCTAGTGGAAGCCCTGGACGACGTCTTACACCGCGAAGAAAAGTTTCCCACAAAATATCCCTGTGCCGCTACTTCACCCTCTTCCACCACCTTTTTGAGATGAGCAGAGTGCACTGACCGTGCTTTGGTCTGATAATGATGGCGAGTTAGCTTTACGATCTCCTGACAGATCCTTCTGAGGCAGTCATCCAGGCCCGCCACCATATCCTGAAGGGTACCTCGATCGGTGCTCTCTCGCCGTTTGCATCGAATATCAAGATCATCAGTCTCATCGTCACATATGGAGAGCTGGGGATAGTACAGAGCTCAGAGCCATGAAGTCAAGAGTGTTGTCGGTATCTCATTTCAGAAGGTATGAGTGTCCTTCGTAAAACCTCCCCAGTCAAAATTTTAGGGAAATATTATCTTGACCCTGAACTTTATCATGCGAACTTGGATTGCATATATTCACAGATGCTAGGCTTAGGCCCAGCCATTTTCGTCGACTGTGTCAACACATTTTACCTAGCTCAGAGATATATTGTTGGATGTCACCAGCGCCTCCTACATTCAACATTATGAAACTCGAGAAAAATGTTGAAATTATTTTATGCCAACATTAATGAAAATAGATGTCAACATTAATGAAAATCATCTGGAAAAAATCCACCCTATGCATTTCTCTACCTGAAAGGGCGTTAGTATAGCTGAAATCATCTTTAGACACAAATCCAACACACGCTTGTCAACACGTCAGATTGCTGTTTAGGAATCAGGATAGGTCACGTGATCACATTTTTTCATGTAATGTTATCAAGATCAAGATCAGTAATCAATAATCAAGAGATCAACAGTTCGATCTAGCTGACACTCTACGAATGACAGACTGTCAAGAAACATGTTCAATGTATCCTATGAAAATTGCCGTCGACTTTATC